AATGCCTTGGTTTGAAGCACAGTAATGAGCTGAGTAAAACCAAGTTTTGCCGGATTTATTCTCGGGAACAGCTGAACACAGAAACAAGTCAAGTGGAATAAACATTCTGGACCTGAAGGTTGTGTTCTATATAGTTACTCTTACCTTTTTTTTTTTTTAGCCCAGAACTAAAATAGCCAAACCATTTTTATGTGTTTTTCTGTATTGTTATACCAGAAACCAGTCGTTTAGGTTGTTACTATGTATTTATTGAAGAGACTACAGAAAAGCCTTAGAGAAGAGGGGAGACATGAGAATTAGGACCTAGTGAACTGTAGCTTTTACAAAATATTGATTTCTGTGGTTTTCTGTGTTTGTCAGTTTACTGTGTCACTTTTCTGGTAGAATGCCACAAATGTACAGTTGAATGTCACTGATAGTGTTACAGCACCCAAGTTCGTATAGTGCCACGCTCTTAAGTAATCTCACAAGACCACATTGACAAAGGCTCCTGTTACAGTTTCCTGATACCATAGCAGGTTTTCGTGTCCCCCGGCTTACCTGCTCTGCTGCTGTACCTCGCCAGCCTATGGGATGTGTCAGCGTGACTKTCGGCCTGTTGTCTCAACTACCTCAGCATCAGTCATCACCAGGACTGATGCATAAACACTGCAGTTTAGGTTGAGAAGGGGCTGCCAGCACCAGAAGCAGCAAAGAAAGAGGGTTCAGGAGGGCTCGTGCTCTYGCACTGTCAGTGCTGCTGAAGAAATTATGAATGGATCCATGCCCTAAATTTCATGAATAAAGCTGATGGAGATGAATTATCTTCTGTATGTRCTCACTGTAGAAGCTGAGGCTTAATGTTTTAAAGCTGTTTACTACACAAAGTGAATTTTGTGAAAAGTCAGTATGTAATTTAATAAAGATCAGTAAATTGCATTCAATGAGTGGTACTTTAGCTTTTATTAAAATTGTTTGAAAGAATTACATCCCAGTCAGTGAGCTACATCAGATGTTTTATTTCCATCTGAATTGAGCTATTGAGCTAGTAGAGTATTTTTATTGCCCCAGAAAGTGATGTGATAGAACTAACTTTGTAACTGTGTAAATCCAGAATTTGGATTTCAGTGGAGCAATACTTAAATAATTTTTTGCAACCTTTTTTTTTCCCCCAGAGATTAGTTCTCTGTAGTCAGACTTACACTCACTTTTAATTTCGACTGATAGTGTTAATAAGCATTTAAGCAAAATCACCAGAATCTTCATCAAAAAGAATACTTAAAAAAATTAGAAACTTAGGTCTGTAACTTTTCATATCAGCTCATGCTAAAATATAGCACAAAGGTACATTTTATATCTTGAAGTTTTAATTATGAGTTTAGGTGGGTTTTTTTTCCCCTAAGCAAAATATTAGGTTCAAATGATGTAGTGAAGATATTTGGAGTTATCTGGTAATGCTTTTTTAAAACTCGATGTTCTTAACACAGAATTTTTATTCATTTTTATTTTGCCAGTGCATTGTTTTATGAAACAAATTTTCTTCATAAAAGCTGTTGAATTGTGGAAGTTTTTTTCTTTCCCCTCTCCTTAACTTGAAATTTGAGGAGACAGCTTCATACTCTTCCATTCCTCCTTCTTTCCTTTTGCTTTTGGCAAAAGCAAAATATTGTTATGCTCTTTATGTTCATCACGTGCTTCAAAAAAAGAGACAGAGCACTCCTCTTTCTGAACTGATCAGCACTTTATAAAATTAACATTGATACTTAAATTGAGATGAAGCATCTAAACGACTGAGCTGTTACTTCGGATTGTTTTCAATTTCACTTCGGTGTACTTAGTTCCTGATTTTAAACTTTTCTTTAGGTACATTATATCTAAATACATCTTTTAGAGTAACCCCTTTAAAGCAGTTTGTATACTTACCTATTGTTTTTAAAACAATCTGTTGTGATACCTGAATTGTAAATGCCTTGAGGCAGAGACTCTATTTGGAAAGCATATAACAGTGTGAGGTTCTGGTCGGTCTGCAAATCGTATTTTCAAGTCTGATAATAGATCTTATTAATCTCACTTGATGTTGGATTTGACTGCAATAAAGATATTTTATTGCTTCATCTTGTATTAACTACAAGACATAAAGTGGCCTTATGCTTTATGAACAGGCCTGATCTTTCCAAATTTACTTGATGTGTAGTGCTGAGATGTGTAAGACATGTTACACCTGAGCTCTCTGGAGGGGTGCAAAAAGGTTTATTCCTGTTGTTGTCCATCTAGTTAAGTTAAAGCTAAATAACGGTGGTTTTTCATTCAATTAAATATTTTTGGATGAAGAAAAATCTCCTCAATCTTTTTTTTTTTCCTTTCCTTCTTTATTTTTTTTTTCCCCACAGATATTTTAAAAATACTATGGCAAATTTATGGTGCATCTGAATAGCAGTGCAGGTTCCCTAAACTGACGTTGCAGTGGTGATTTGCTCAGCAGCTTGCTATCTGTGAAAGTAAACCCCACTCCTAAATGCATAAAACTTCACCTGCCTGGACATGTACCTTAACTCCTACACTATATTCTGTGTAGGGCAGTCTTCACAAATGCATGTATCCTGCTAATAACCTATTTCAGAAGGGAGTAAACCATTATTTTGGAGCAAGCATTGCTTTAAACCTGAATTTAAACATGAATTCTCTCCCTTCAATTGAAAGGGATTCAACTCGGGCATTTCCATTAGGTCTTTGTCTAGGTCTAGGTCTGTGTGCCATGAAGAAAAGCAGAATTCCTGAAATAGGGAAGGCCCGTCTCCTGGAGAGCTTTCAGTCAGTAACATCATAAAATTGAAGTGAGCCAAGTAAGCATCAAATGAAGGTAAAACAGCCATAGTGACATAAAACACTTCTTTGCTGCATTTGAAAGAAATTCTGTTAGGAAAAATTACTCTCTAGACTTTACATTTATTCTGTTATATGTGAATATTATTATGAAAATAGCTTTATGGGGTATTTAAGTAGCATCCAGGGGGAAAAAATGAGCTGAATAAAGACATCCCGGGCATGTCCACATCCATAATRATTGCCAGAGCTGAGATAAAAAGTTTTTTGTTTTAGGCTAATAGAGCACATTGTTCCTGAAAAGGATTTAATTTAGTTTGCCATCCTTTTATCTTTTACAAATAGATACTTAAGCCAAAAATATTCCCCCATTGTTCAGGTCTAGTAGAAACAAAGCATCAGCTGAGTACAGGTGTCTTCCGCCCTGGGCTATTTAAGCTTAAGAAGATAAATTTAAGTGCATATCTTCATGCGATGCCCAGCATGCTGCAGCACTTGGCATCTTATCTGTGTTGTAGTTGCTTTATCTCTGATGCGTCAATGGGGTAAAGAATTTATTAACACAGGCTAACCAAGGTGCAAGTCTTACCAGTGAATGAATGTGATACATTATTTGCTTCCTGTTTTTGAAGCTTTCAGTGTTAGGTTGTGTAGTTCCTTGGGAAAATAGATTTGTGCAATCCAGGAGGCTTTTAAGTCCATTGATTTCTTAGTAAATAGTATACTTTAAGTAAGTATATAAATAAACGTGTACTTTGGCGATTCATCTACGCGTGAGAAACTGAAACAGGTGCTATGTGCTGGCAGCAAGGCCTCCATRGTGAAAGATAAATCTCTCAAGGGTTTTTGAAGCCGGTTATAAGTTGCTATAATTAATTTTCCTATTCAAAACTTAAGAGAAGTTAGACTTTTTGAAAAATCTACCTGCACTATAGAGAGAAGAGAGCTAATTTTAAAAACTTCTGCCTTATCTTTTTTTTTTTCTTTTTTTTCCCTTGGTTTTGAAGGATTCCATTAATGTTAGCAATATACAAATGAACAAAAGAATAAATATTTATAGTGCAGAGGAGGAAGTAAAGTAAAAGAGGAAGTGTCATCTTAAAGTAGGCCACCCAACCGTGTTTTGTTCTTTTTTTTCTTTATAAGGGAAAATTACTCCCATGACACTATGAGATTTATACAAAATCTGTTAAACAGTTCTCCTAATAGTTAGGCATATTGTTGAGAGAAGTTGGCTTAAAAATGCAGAAATGTGAAATACTTCTATGATTCTTGTAAACTTCAAATAAATCCATTTATTATTTGAGTTTTTGAGTTTAGTGTTTTGTAATTCAGGCATGGCAACATTGTCCTACAGCAAAAGAAGATCAAATGTCTAGTTTATTTTTATCAGAAGAAGCCCCAGGGTCCTTTAAAAAAAAAAAAAAAAAAGATTATAATAATTGGTAGAAGAAAATTCTGCAAATTGTTTGGTGCTGCTGTACATGATGGATAATTATTTGATTAAATTATTTTGTGCCCTCACTCTACCCTCCTCCCCTTGGTAGTAACTTTAACATTCTCCCACTCATTTCCTTCTTCTCAGCAAAGAAGCAGCTGGGGCTGTCATCATTATTCTTTTTTATTATTATTATTTCCATAGACAACTATGAGTCTTCATGATGTAAAAAGGAAGATTAGAGATTCATGGAAACTTTTTATACCYTCCATTGCTGAATCATTGGTTGTATGAAAACTCAGTTGAGATCTTTTTTTGTGGAGAGTATTGGTTCCACAGTGTAATGCCTTAATGGAAGATTAGTGGTCAGGTTGTTTGCTCCTTGTGCAGAAATGACATATGGTGTTAGGCCTCTGTCATTAAACACCAAAATTGGCTGAATGTTAATAATACAATCTGCAGTTACCATAAAAGCGAAGTCCATCCAGCCATGAGAGCATAAAATACAGCATTTAGTAGTCTAGCCAGAAATCTGTTCAAAGTGTTGGTAACCAGTGAGATTGCCCTGATAATGTCAGAGAGTGATAAAATCATTTTATGAGGCCTRTATGTTACATGCTTTGAAACTCAGCATTTTCTGTTAATATATCTGTCCTTTGCCTCAGCTTGAGGAATATGGCTTACTATATTTTCTCCATTTCAGTGAAAGAGGTGTTCTGACCCTTTGTTTTCTTCTCTGATAATTGTTCTTTTTTTTTCTCTTAAAATCTAGGAATATTCTGAAGACAGTAATTCTGAACCAAATGTGGATCTGGAAAATCAATACTACAATTCCAAAGCTTTGAAAGAAGATGATCCTAAGGCAGCACTAAGCAGTTTTCAAAAGGTTTTCAATCTTTATATTCTTTTTTTTTTTTTAATTGATTCTCTTGTGCTGAAATTGTATAAAATCCACATTAAACATATTTGCTTGCCTTTTCGGTTATTTTCTAGAATTTTAAGATTAATGTTTATAGTTTAACTTAGTAAAATAACATGCTAAGTGTAACATTGGGCTACTTAAATTCCTGACTGACTTGTCTTTTCAGGACTGCACTTATGGAGCATAAACAGAAAGCTAGAGTGGTCCTATTTTATAGCAAAACTTYTTTTTGATCTTCAAAACTTACTAAGTTAATTAAAGAGTTCTAAGAATCTTTTCCTGCATCAGCTATAGAAATCTAATCTATTCCATTTTTAAAATCAAATGGCTTTTTTCCCAGTGTCTTACATAATGGATTATATTTGGTTCACAATCTGATTCTGAAACTTATTTTATGTTTGCAGACTGCCACCAGAAAGCAATATGTTAGCTGCTACTTSTTAAGGAAAAAGTAGATTTTTGCATCTTTTGGTTTAAGTATACATATATATGACTTTAAAACTTCTTAACATTTTTGTTTACAACACATTATGTATGTTACTTTAAAGATTGTAACCTGGAATTCTTTTTGATATGACAAGAAATACAGAAGTGTAACTTTGAAAATAGTTTAGGTCTTTTTATTTATTACAACTTTTTGTGCATTTGTGTTTGTGGATTGGCTTTAGAGTTTAGTGTTTGATATGAGATAATAAAAGAATCTACAGATATCTTTATCAATCTATAATCACACTCCCTCCATCAAGATAGATATGAAAGCTAATAAGATGCACACCCCTGACTTTTTCAGCCATACTCTGGAAGAGTAAAATTGGAGAACAGTGCAGAATAGAATATTTCTGTAAAGAAGAAAGCAGGGAAAAAGGCATGTACAGCATGTGTGTGTTTTAAAAAGGGATACAAATTTATTTGCAAATGGAAAAATCATTTCCAATGCTTTTAAAAATTCTTTTGTTTCAGGTTTTAGAACTTGAAGGTGAAAAAGGTGAATGGGGGTTCAAAGCTCTGAAGCAGATGATTAAGATAAACTTTAAATTGGTAAGTTACAGCTATCACTTACGAGTAAATGGCTGAAATACAGATATAACCTATAGCTCTTATTATTTGACTATGGCAGCAAAATCTGCCAGGACACATTTTCTTTGCAACATTTTGTGGCTACTGCAGATATGGCAAGGAAATTATGTTGTGGTTGCAGATGAAAGGCAAAACGTAAACAGCCAGCGGCTGTAGTCAGTTGAGTTTCTCTAAAAGGCTGAGAGTCCGTCCTTGTTGAGGTATCATGCCCTAACTGTTGCTAGGTTGTATGTGTGAAATCAAAGTTTGTAAATAAACTACCAACATTAATCAAAAAATGACTTTTCTAGAGAAAGAGAAAAACTGTTTCTAGAAAGCTTTGGATTTAAGAACTGTTCTTAAAGATACTTTTTTATTGAATGGATTATATCAAATTTTGGAAATAGATTTTTTCTTTTTAGAACTTCTTTTATAAACTCAGTATTTTTTGTTATGCTGTCAGTTGTCAGATTTCAGCTTGTGTTACAAACTGTTTATATTTGTGTATTTGCAAAATATAGTTTGATTTTTTTAATTATTAAAGCAAAAGTTCATAGTGATTTTTTTTTCTTTATAGACTAACTTTCCTGAAATGATGAACAGATATAAGCAGCTATTGACCTACATACGGAGTGCAGTTACAAGGAATTATTCTGAAAAATCCATCAATTCTATTCTTGATTATATCTCTACTTCTAAGCAGGTTAGATCATCAGTTCTTTCATTTTGATGATTTTCCTCTTCACATTTTTAACTGTGACTTCTGTGTATAGCTGTCTGKTTTTTTTGACTTTATTAGAGAACATGTGCAGTATTATTTTGTTGTCACATATTAAAATATATTTCACACATTTTATGAATTCTATCAACTGCATAATGATTTTTTATAAATTTATAACATTTTTATTATTAAATCAGACTGAATATTGTTTGACAATATTCATCTAGAATGTCCATCCTGTAAAATATTTTAGCATGATAGCTACACACAGCATATGGGATCTCAAATGTAATTTGTAATTAAGTAATTACTTGAAAAAAAATCTGCAACGACATGTTGATGGTAGATATCATGTCTTTGAATTGACTGTGCAAGCTAAGTAGCTGTTCATAGATCCACAGCTCATCTTTTTTTCTTTTTTTGCTGTCATTGAAGCTTTACAGATAKTTGGATGTTTCCTTAACTGACCACCTGGAGATAGCACCAACACGTGGAGGGTCATTGGTCTTTAGCAATGACTCTTGTGTCATTACTGCTGCAATTCCTGACCTACCACATACAACCAGGGAAGGTTTAATAGATGAATGGCACTTTACTTTCAAGTCTTCAGGACTGACTTGAACTTTGCCAACTTTGGCAGAGTTGAGTCTAAAGGCAGYTGGAGCCAGGACCTGGAAGGACAACTTGGAAATTTTAAGCTGACATGTAGCTGCAGATGTTATCCCTGCTGCCAAAAAGAGCAGTGGCCATAAACAGTACTAGCACATTCTCTATAGAACTTTTGTTCAGGGAAATACTCAGTGCTTTGACTTTGACTTCAAATGTTGTATTTTCATTTTTTTATTGAAGGAAATGGTTTCATGCACTCAAGATTTTGGCCTTGTTTCATACAGTGTTAGCATTATAGAAAGATATCTTTTCATTTGACTGCTTTTTTGGTAAATCTTATGCTTTTTGATATGTAAGTTCTTTGCTCTTTTGTTTCTCTTAATTAGCAGTAGTGATGTATATTAGTATTTGCCATGTGTTACACAACATAAGGGTTTTCCTACTTGCTTGTAGATGATGGGCAGGWGGCTTTCATTTGTCACCAGCATGCTTTCTAATGATAATACCTATTTCATAAAAGAAGAACAAGCTTACAGTGTTTTGTTATTTTAGAAGCTCTTTTTACAATTCAAAAGAAAACAGATGTTCAGTAACATGCAGATTTCTCTATCTTTCTTGTTTTGAAGTTCAAACATGCACTTTTAGTTTGTTCAGATTGACTTTATTAACAGGTACAAATTTGCTGTTTACAATTATAGAATTCTGATTTTTTATGTCAGATGGATTTGCTTCAGGAATTCTATGAAACAACACTTGAAGCTCTGAAAGATGCTAAGAATGATAGATTGTGGTTTAAGACAAACACAAAGGTAAAATATATAACTTATTATTTTTTGCTTTTGTTTGCGACACCTCCAACTAGACCTTAATACTTATACTAGTAAGGTATAATACTTACACCTTAATACTCTTTTTTATTCTTTCTTTTTCCTTTTTTTTTTWTTTTTTTTTTCTTTTACAGCTTGGCAAATTATATTTAGAAAGAGAAGAATATGGAAAGTTGCAAAAGATTTTGCGCCAGTTGCATCAGTCATGTCAGGTAACCTTATTTTCTAAATTGGTGTGGCTTAGCAAAGAACGGTGATTTTTTCACATCTGTTGTTGAGTTTTGAGACACATTGTTGAGTTTAAACACAGAAGAAACCCTGTGCTTACTTTAAATTATCTCTTTGATAACATGAACTAAAAATGATCATAGACTGGATAACTTTCTTTTTAGCCAAGCATAGGAATGAAAAGAACATGTGAATCATTTGTAAGTATAGACATGTATTTTAAAAATCAGTGAAGATTCTAGTGAGCTTGAGTCAAAGCTGAATATAGTTATTAYTTGTGCCCACTTGGAAGGAGAGTGGGGGAAATGAAACTATGCAGCCTACTCTGCTTTTTTATGTACACTTCTCCTTATCTGACATTGAAAGTGACTTAAAATATCTGGGAAATGACTTTGTTACAGGGAGTAAGAGAGTTGTATGTATTATCAATTTATACTGATATTCAGTCATTACATTTGTATACTGAAAGAGGCTTTTACGTAAAGGAGAGTGGAAAAGTATAAAGGGCAAAGTTCTGGAAATTTTTATAGGGAAAAATTTTAGTTCGACAAAATTGATGATGTGTTAATAGTTAGCTTCAGAATCTGGTCTGTGGTAAGTCCCTTGACTTTTCTGTTTATAGCTATRTCAGTATTTTAGGAATATCTTTATTTCTGACAGCAAGTTTCTCAGAGTTCATAATCGGTATGTAAAGATGAAATAACTGTTCTCTTAAAATTTCACAGTATTAATTGCTTAATCTATTCTAGACTGATGATGGAGAAGATGATCTAAAAAAAGGTACCCAACTGTTGGAAATCTATGCTTTAGAAATTCAAATGTATACAGCACAGAAGAATAACAAAAAACTTAAAGCACTATATGAACAGTCATTACACATCAAGTCAGCCATTCCTCATCCACTGATCATGGGAGTTATCAGAGGCAAGTTAGTTTTGAACTTCTCATTTAACTTGTGTTGCATATGTTAGTTTCCTGAAAATCTTGGAGTTTTTTTCAGTTTCAACTATAAAAATATTGCAGAGGATCCTGTAAGTTCAGCGTCAGACAAACCCCATGTGAAAGGGAACTACAAATGCTGTCACTATGGTTTGTCATTTAGTGTTCACCCTGTTGGACATCAGGACTGCTGTTCTGGTCCCTTGTGCAGATGCACAGTGGGACAGTTGGCTGAAGGTGGCACAGGGGAGAAGCAGCAGGAGATGAGAGTTTCCTACCACTACGGCAGGCAACAAAGGATAAATGCACAGGCTTGGCAGGGCTGCTGGTGGAAGGGACTGTGTTTCTGTAGCCTACTTCTGTGAATTTGAGCTTGATGCTTCACCTTACTAAAATTCATCAGTGTTAGGATGTGTTGAAAATAGTATTTATTTTAGTAAAGGTGAGTTATAGTGGAAACATGCTGCACCTCTTGGGGGGGAAAAAAAAAAAAAAAAAGAACTTTCTCCAGAATATTGTATATCTTCTTCCTTCTTCCTTCTGTATATCTTCTTCCTTCTCTTAGTGTAGGCACTTGCACGGAAGTTGGGCTCCCCTGAACACTTCAAAAATAAACTGAGAAATACTGTTTATCTGTTATTTTCTGTGTAGTTTTACTCAAAATACATAAAGAAGATTTCATAAATATAGGAAGTTTATTGTCTTTGATGTTTATTGAGGTAAATTCCATTTGAATWTTATGTATTTTAACATACAGTTAAAATAACTATTGGCTGCAAAGATTGGTGTTCTTTTAGATTTGTAGTGTGGGCTGAGTTTTCTTTTGTCTTCTTTGGAAGGGGTTTATTGAAATGGCAAAGCTTTATATGCTGGCCCTAGTGCTTTTTCTAGTATTTTTAGAGAATGAAAGGACTCCTGAAAATATTTCAGCAATCTATTTAGAAATAGCAAGGAACTTCTGAGTACAATTATTCTAGTCAGTGGCAAGCACACAATGTTCCTTTTTTGTTTCATCCTGTGTTTTCTTTTCAGAATGCGGAGGCAAAATGCACTTAAGAGAAGGAGAGTTTGAAAAGGCACATACTGATTTTTTTGAAGCGTTCAAGAATTATGATGAATCAGGGAGCCCYAGAAGAACGACTTGCTTAAAATACTTGGTCTTAGCAAACATGCTGATGAAGTCTGGAATAAATCCTTTTGACTCTCAGGAGGTACTTGTTTTCTGTAAATATGATTTTTTTATTTTGAGATTTATAGGCAAGTTATCAAAAAAGATAAAGGAGAAAATATTTTAYTATCTGAATGTCTACTTTCTGTTCTGTGTAGGCTAAACCATACAAAAATGATCCAGAGATTCTAGCAATGACGAATTTAGTAAGGTAAGATTTTAAGTTTTTCAGAGAAAATTGAAAAATGTGGTGTACAAACCAGGAATTGGATATTTCTGAGAGGTGGATTTTTGTGCACAACTAAMAAATATGTTTGCTTTAAATATTAAGTAAACACTGTTAGACTGTTTTTCTTAAGAAATTACTTTATTTACTTTGACATGCCTCACAATCTACCAGGTAGGGAGCAGAGGAAGAAATACTGTTTAYCTTCTGCTATGGAGAATTTCTTCTGCAATTGGAAGAATATTATATTTTTCCTTAAAATGAAGTTCTTTAGACTGTAATGTTTGCCTGATTATATATGAAGCACTGAGATAATTGACATCTCATACCAAAGCCAATATTTTGTGATTTCTAAAGGAGATTCCTAACAGGAATATGAAATGGAATTTTCAGGCAATCTCCCTTATCCTTCAAATATATGGAGATCARAAGAATGCTTCCTTACTTCTTATGGGCAAATATGAAGCCAGAGCTTTTGAGATATTTAGATTGTCAGACCAAGTGAAATAAGGCAGTCTTACAAAGCTAACCTTTTCTGTCCACAATAATCCTGCCTGAATAATGCTTAAGAAACTTCCCATCTTTTCATTATAAGGAAAGAAGAGGTAATATATGCTTACATTTTGAAATGCACAGTTCAAGTCATGTCAGAACAAATCTTGCTTTGAATTTAGTATGATACTGCAGCATTGTATGCATTCAAATAATTTCTGAAACTGAGGATGCTTGTCCATTATTGATACCATCATGAATACAAGATTTGGCAGTTTATTAACAGGCTATTTCCAATAATTCCATTTTAGACATTTCTCTTCTACTTAACTTTCATAGCTTCATGTGAATTTGAGGCAGAAGGATCCAGATGGCCTTTCCCAATCTGATTTTATTCATGCTCCTAATTGATATCTTTTATCTTGACATTTGAATATAATGGCTTCTTTAAAATTAATAATGCAGTTAAAACAGTATAGATAAGAAAGTTGCAGAAGATAAATTAATTGGAAGGATTACCGTTTTGTTTTTCGTTCTTCCAGTGCTCTACATTGGGCACATTGAAATGTTTGCGTGTTGTAAGGAAAGATTTCTAGAATAAACAGCAAAATACACTTATTTGAATTTCCATTTAATTATGAAGTAAATTTATTGATTMCTCATGATATAGTTCTCTCCACTGCTGTAAGTCCATTTATAAACTCCATTAATCAACATTCCAAATTTAATTAGTTTTCTTTTTCTTGCCACTTTTAAAGGCTGTCTTTCTTGACCAGTTTAAAAATAATTTGAAAATGTACAGAGACTTATATAGGAGAAATACATGTTTTTTAAAATAATCAAGGTTAATATCAAACAGAAATTTAAGGCAGGTATTGAGCAGTACCTTTATCAGGTTACAGATCATTGGCACATAGCTTAATATAATTAAATTTCTGTGTAAGCTTCATTGGTTAGTGTATAATTTCTGTTGTGACTGACTATCCCTATCAGATGMGAGATTTGATTTATGAGACCATTATGTTTAAGAAAATTGTTTTGTTTCAGCAGCTCTTATCATTCATATGTTAGAATGATTTTGTGGTGCCCAAATCCATCACTTAGAGAACCATCTGTTTCTGTAACTATCGTTTAGGTAACAATGTTAAATACTTAAATAATATTATAGATGCTAAAAATGARCTATAAATTTATAAAACAATATTATGCCCAATTTTTTTTCAGTTAGTCCCAAAAGTCTACTTTTTCTTAGAATTCAGCTTTCTAAAAGCAGTACTGACAAAAAGCCTCTGAACCCCCTTTCCCTGTTTGTTATATGAAGTATATCTCTGTGCCAAAATTTCAGTAATGATACTGTCCAAGAATGTCTGTTTTTAGGGTTTTTTTTTTAGTAAGAGCTGATTAAACTGAAATGGTTTGAAACCAATGCACATTTGCAAAAGAACTAACTGAACTCGCTCACAAAATAGGAAATGGGAGAAAGATCTTATCTGTGGCATCTCATTGAAAACAATTTTTCCTTCTGAAGATTATAGAGAACAAAGTTTTATGATGAGACTATTTTGTTTTTTAAAATAATAATGCAATCTTGTATTTTCTGAAGTGCCTATCAGAATAATGACATCACTGAATTTGAGAAGATTCTGAAAACAAATCACAGCAACATCATGGATGATCCCTTCATAAGGGAACATATTGAAGGTATTTTCACAGGCCATTATAATCCTTTCTCTGCATGTTATGCTGTATTTTTTAAGACTTATTTTCTCTGTGCTGAATATTCTTTATAATTATTAGTTACAGACAGTTCTTCTACTAAGTTCTTCCTTGGAAGTTAGTCAGGGGAAACATCCATCCTAGGAGACAGAGTGACTGCTGTGAATTGCAGGAGTCAGGAAGAAAGTTCTTGCAAGAATGAGTGTTCTAAGATACTTCTTGTAATGTCATGCTCTACATTGGGTGGCTTTTTTTTTCCTGTTTTTTTTTTTTTTTCGCATTGGTGAAAGTTTGAATTAAAGGAAGCCTTCATTAATTGCAAAGGTTGTTCTTGCCAATTTCAACAGTAAAATATTCACTATTTTGTAAGATGAACTTTCTGCTTCAGATCAAAAATGTGGACAGTGCATTGAGGGCACATTAATAAATGTGTAGCAATAAAACATTTAATAAGATAAACAGTTGTATATGTTGAAAGCAACGATCGATTTATAGTACCTATACATTGTAGAACAGGGGAACACAATAGCACATGTTCATCAATTACATGAACAGACAAAAATCAAGTCTCTTTTGCAGCTTATCATTTATTTGTGAGTTTAAAAGTCCCTTGACTTGCAGACAGTGTCTAGTTTTTCAAAGGACTACTGACATCTGAAGAGTAGGACTTASTAGATATTGCTGCTTCAGTTAGCTGGATGACTGCATGAAAGCAGTTTTCTTAGCATGGTTTTCTTAGGCTTCATGTTTGTGAAAGAGAAGATGAGAAGTGGAAACTAAATATAGCCCCTCTGTTACTGTTACATGTTAACTACTGGTGAACTTCAAGGTCTGGTAGGGAAGACAGCAAAATTAAAGAGATGGATGCTTACGGAAAGAATGACAGCAAAAAGCAAGAGGACAGATGAACCTAAGACTCTAGAGACTTTGAATTTTACCTATTATATGACATTGGTCTGGCAGTAGGATCTGGGGGAAAAAAAGAGATATTCTCAGCTTTTTCACTGCCTAGTGAGATGAAATGTGTGTTCATGGCTTTAATGTTTACATATCTTGCTAAGTTGTTTTAATGCAGTTACTTTTATTGAGATACATAATCCAGTCTTCAGTATTAGTTTTCTTTATATGAACATTCCTTGTGTAACCAGTTAAGTAAAAATGGATCTAGCTCGTTGAGTTTCTTTGCAATGCTAATTTATGCATTAACTTTTATACTACTTTAATAATATGAAAGTTACCAAAACAGCTGCACCGTCTTAAGCAAAACCAGCCACTTCATGCACACTCTGTCCAAGAACTCATAGTTCCCCATCATAATTATTCCATTGGTCCCTGACCTTAAGTTAAACCATGAATGTATCACTTGAAGTTAAATCTGTGCAGGCTGAAGTTTCAGAAATACCTCTTAGAAATACCTCTTCCCCTTCTGTTTAAAGCAAACCTTACTGCCATCAATTACGTGACTACCTTACAATATCATGGTAGTTAGAATATAGAAAGATACAAAGATGGAACTGGCTTGTAACTTTAAGTAATGTTATTTTTTACAATATTTATTTTTTTCTTCTCTTGCAGAGCTTTTGCGAAACATCAGAACACAAGTGCTTATAAAATTAATTAAGCCTTACACAAGAATACATATTCCCTTTATTTCTAAGGTATTGCCAGTGGAGCCTTGCATTTGCTTACGTAAATGATTAATTGTGAATAAACAGCTCTTAAATAAAGCACTTCCTGAAATAGGACCCCTAAAATATAATCAAACAGTAATGTAGTGCTGATGGCTTTGCAGTGCAAAATGTCAAGTATCATTTCAATGCTTTTTTTAATGATACACCTCTAAACTACTCAATTAATGTATTCCACTGGGTGCAGAGAAGTGCTTTCTTGAAGAGAAATGAAGAAAACCTGCGTAATTCCTAACTGTACACAGATTTTATGGACCTAAAATTACAAATTTGAATCCCTCTTGTTTAAAAAATATCCTCAAATATCTGTCTTGTAAGAATTATGGATCTGTAGTGGTAGAACAAATAGATTATAAGACAAAACCACAGATTTCATTCTCTAACCAGAAGAGAACAAAATCAAAAGGAAAAAAAAAAACGACAATAAGATTGTTTTCATCTCCTGTAAGTCTTTTTATTGTCTCTGATTTTTCTTGCAACAATGGGTGGCATTTTAAAATATATTATGAAGTATTAGAGCTTTTATGCTTGTAGTGTTAAAACTTGCATGTAATAAAGCTTTGTGCATTTTKGGGGGGAGCGGAGGAAGGAATGGCCTTAACATTTGCAGAACTTAAGACAGATGTTCCATTTAGCTCTAAATGGTTTTGAATAGGGGCCTTTTTCTTTCTGATTATTGTAGAAACAGTAATCAAACCGAACTCTACATTAAAAATAAAGATGGGAAGGCTTTAATGTTGCAAAAATAATATWTTTTTTTTCTTTTAGGAGTTAAACATAGATGTAGCTGATGTGGAAAGCTTGCTTGTGCAGTGCATATTGGATAAGTATGTACTTTCTTAGTTCTAGTAATTAATTGGTTTAAAGCAGCCAAACTATACAAGAAACAACAAATATGTATGATCAAAAATCCATTTGATTCTAAAACAAAGAAATAATGGTCCTGAATTTGTTCTTTGGGTTTGCTTAGCTTAGAGGCAGCCTAGTATATTTGAAAGCTGTGAGCAAATAAGGTATTACCTTAATTTTATGTGATACATTTATGTAGTGTATTTTATATATGTAATATATGAAGGTTTATAGATATAGATATATAGATATATAGATATATAGATATAGATATAGATATAGATATAGATATAGATATAGATATAGATATAGATATAGATATAGATATAGATATAGATATAGATATAGATGATTCCTTGTCTGAAAAGAACTATTAACATTAAATTGCTCCAGATTTTATGTGTGGGTTGTAGATATGCAGCTGTAGAGTATTATATATAATACATATATATGCATAGTCCACTAAATTAGTTAATTTGATTTCCAGTTAAATAGGCAGTACTACATGTGACAGTATGTAGTAAGAATGGATGATGTATTTTAAAACTTAAATTCTGAAGTGTATTCTGCATCAGTGTTACAAATTTATAAGAAGACCTGTTGTTTTATCTCTGATTTATCATTAGCCTCTATTTCCATTTGCCTTAGCGATTTTTATTCATTTATTTATTTAATTATTTCTAGCACTATACATGGCCGAATTGATCAAGTCAACCAGCTCCTTGAACTGGATCATCAGAAGAGAGGCGGTGCACGGTATACTGCATTAGATAAATGGACCAACCAACTAAATTCTCTCAACCAGGCTGTAGTCAGCAAGCTGGCCTAACCGAAAACAAGCTTTTACAAAACGTACTTAAGGCAACAGTGCAGTGATGTAAACCTTAAAAGAACTGGGAATGGCAAAACTACTGTCGGTTGGTGTGCCCTGAAATTATTGGAGTTATGGCAGAAGTGCTTTTTTGATCAGCTGGTTTGTGTTTTGCTGCTGCATTTATCCCAAGAAAAAACAGCTTTAATCTCCAGAAGAAAACCAAAATGCCACGGGATTTATGCTGTATTGACATCTTGCCCTAAACATACAACATCATAATAATTTGTTCAAGGGCAAGTAATGACCAGAGAGAAGATTTTTGTCATGATTTTAAATACACTGACACGTTACTGTTGGTTAAATTTAAACATGTTTTACCTGCAGAAATTCTCTCACAGAAATAACCTGCAATAACTTGAAATGCATACCCTTTTGAACACTTCCTTTTCTCATGTATAAATTGAAATGTTTGCTGCATTTTGCAAAATGTCARTTCTCCAAAAATGTGTCCGTATATTTCTGTACCTGCAGTGTAGTAAAGGTTTAGAAGAAACCCCATAATTATAGTGGCATACTGTCACTTTAGGTTTCAAGCAGCAAAATAAACAGTGCAGTTCAGAAATTGTACAGTTTGTTTCTTGATGTGCTTTCATTATACTTKATTTTTACTTTCAGTATTTTAAGAAAATATGTACTATGTCATCCTCACTTAGGGAGATTTTAAATCTAAACCTTGGTATGCTTTTCATTTTCTTAAAGTGGTAACCACAAATACTTAGATTAAAACATTGCACCTAGCCATCCTGCTAACTGATTTGATCGTGCAAGAAACCAAGCTCATACCAGTTCCATCTGGTTGATATTCGTAGGTGGAACTTATCAGGCAAATATTCTTGGGTTTGACTTCAGTAATTTAAGAAYACAGGGTTGTCAGGAAATACTTTGGGAGTAGAAATATGGACCCTAATTGTTGTCTTTCTTTGACTGATTAGGCCAGATTGTGGTCTTTTTTTGGACTCTTGAATTGTGTATGAATAGAAACAGGTTTTGAAAGCAACAGAATTTCTGCACTATGTATGTGGAGTGGGGACTAAGTGCAGTGACGTCAGGAACGGTGCAGTCCATTCCCTCCCAAACCTTTGACTGTGTTTGAGTTCCTTCAGAGCCACTGCTCAAGTTGCATAGTAGACACTACCTTTGGTGTCCCAAGATTTTGGGATCATCATTTAAAGTGGAGCTGTGTGATTTTGGCCACAGCAACTGTATTTCCTGTGGCAGCTTGTTTGGACAATTTCTCTGACAGAGAAATTCTCTTGTGGTTCTCAGAGAAGTAAAAGAAATTTTGCGTGGTCACTTCTTCCATAAGTACTCCAATTTAAAGGTAATGGTATGATGTAAATAGTGCAAAAGGCTGTGCCATGCACAGTTGTTGCAGTAGAAATAAAAATAGGTGTGTAGCGCAATTAATGCCACAAAAAAAGAAAAAGTAAACATAAAGAAGCCTCCTGTAGCACACGTGTCTCTCACCTATGTATAAAATAGAATGGTAAACCAAATGTTCGTTCTAGGACAGAATTTAAATAGTTAACAGCATACATTTAAGTGGGATGGCATTGACTTTCATTTGAAAGTTACGTGTTGCAGAAAATTTTGCTCTGTAGTTGTCAAAACGTAAGTGAAATTGTTTTTCTTGTATCAATTAAGGATTAAGTTCATGTGTTGCGTAAATAACCTGATGCTGAATCTCTGTGAGCATTTTTACTTTACTGATGCAGTAAAGTGTAAAAACACCAGCAGGTGTTTTTAATTTATCTCGTCACCTAAAATAAGAGTAAAATATTAATATAAGTTGAAATTAGTTTTTGAGCACATGCAAAGGTCTTTTTACTTTTTTTTCCTTCAAAAACATCTGTAGATAACAATAAAACACATTGTTCTTATTACATTTCTTTACAATGTATGACATGGTTTTTTACCTTGAAAATTCCACTAAAATCTGTTGATGTGAAACTGGACTTAGCAAAATCAAATTCATGTATAATACTGCAGCGTAAGTTGTATAGATGCCTAGCAGCCTCCTCTGAAAGCCTTGGGCTTCTTTTCAGCAGATCCAGAGGCACCCATTTGGATAATGTCTCTTGCAAGATTCTCCTTCCCACGAGACAGGAGGCTGTGACAGCTGGTTTCAGCATGTTTCTCTTCTCTGCCATTTCCTGCCACCCTTGCTGTGGGAAGGAACAACTCATCTCCTCTAAAGGAGGAGAAAAAGAACTGAGCAGAAACTTTGTCTTGAATAAAAAACAAGTCTTTCTGACTTTGCTTGTCTTAACTGAGATAGCCTATCCCATCCCAGGTATGTTCTTGGGGAGAGACATTTGGATTTTCAAGAAACAAATCGGAATAAATAAGTGAATCTTGTCCTAACTAGTTAGTCCCCTTTTCCTAGCTTTTAGTCACAAAAGATTAATTGTAGTAAGACTACTCCAACCAGTGAAGTACTATTAGTTTGAAAAGCAGTGAGATTAGTGTGTATTTCAACACAGAAAATGCATGAGTACCTCCAACAAGTTATTGTGCATCTTCGGCATAGTTTGTTTCCTGCTCATGCATATAGTGCCTTAGCGTCTGAGCTCTAGGCACATAATGGAGATGTGTGTAATTCCCTAAGGGATTCTCCTGCTTTCTGGTGTTCTCATAGTTCTTAACCTGGAAGATGAGAGGTGTCTCTGAGGAAATATGGAGGAGCTGTTTTGTCCCCCAGCTTGGTAAACCCAGTAGCGCATGTGCTGCAATGCTGTCATTAGCTGCCATAGCCCTCTTACTGCGGGGTCCATCTGTCTCTGAAGTGGTATTTTGTCCTTTCTGCCTTGTCAGGAAAACTCGATAAGCAGTTGAAGAAAGTGACTTTTCTAAGCAACCTCACTGGATTCTTCAGTTCCCATTTTTCAGTTTCTGGAAGTGTCAATAATTTTCATAGACAGTTTTCCAACTCTTGAGTGTTTTTATCCACATTTTTTTTTCCTGCTCTAGGTACACGACAAACTGGAATATCAGCTGGTATTAGTAATGTTACCTGTTTGCAAAGGAGTATTTTAATGGCCACTATAATCCTTTGTGTCTGTGCGTCCATATAAATATATACACATGTGCACACACATCGTTCATTTGAGTTACTGGCAGTTTGTGGATTAAAACTGAACACAAACCTCATTCATGCAAATGAAGTCCAAAAGGATGGGTGTGTGCATGTTAGATTTTTTTAATTAGCAAATACAGTTTGGAGAAATTCATTCTCCAAATGAGTTTCCCAGTGCCCCCCCAAAAAGGGCAGGAAACCTGGACATTGCCTAAATTGGAGAACTAGACAAAATACCACATTACACGTAAATATTAGCAGTTAAGCATTAACATGTTGACAGATAGGATTATCACCTTCTTAAATGCTAAATGAGTGGAAAGGTGGATTGCAAAATGCATCTGCATGGCAAATTGCATATTTAGCATGAAACCTTCATGTCTTAATAACTTCAAGATTTATAGCAAGAGTAAAGGCTAATCCCATCCTGGCGAGATTGCAAAATTACGGGCAGGATCTGTCCTGGCTGTCTCTAAAGCCACTTTGCAGCTGCTGGCAGTGGGAGAGCGGTGCTCACTGTGACRGCTGCTTAGCGGTAATCACAAGCTGCCATCAGAATCGTGATTCTCAGATTTGTGGACCAGTCACACCTAGTGCCTGCCACCTTCCCACTTAAACTGCATGAAGCTCCCTGTTGTGTTTGCCCCTAGCTGCCTGCACAGGGTGATACATGTTGTATCACCCTGCGTCAGACACAGAAGTTTCTTTGACAAGACACGCTTTGCTTTCTTTACTTGTCTCTCCTAACACAGTAATTACACTGAGAATTTTAGTCCTGGTCTAGTAAAGCTGTGTCATCTTGCAGTAAATGACACATTTAATTCCTGCTGCCTTTCTTGCTGCAGCACGCCCCTAACCTGCCAGTGCTGCTGTGGGGCTCAGTCTGAGCCTGCTTATACTGCCAGAGCAGAGGGGGTGTTATTGAGCAACCCTTCTTTCATATTTATATGTCAGGACAACTAAGTTTACACATGTGCTCAACTTTCAGTATGAGGAGCTGCCTTCATTTGAGTTAGGCACACTCATCCTTAGGTGTTCTGTAGAGCTTTTAACTCACTGGATATAAATACAGTCTGCATTAGGAGGGAGTATGAGCAGCCCTATACAAGCTGCAGATTTACCTAGAATTCTGTCATTAATTTTGAATTCAAAGTCATTACAAAGTGCCTTTCCATGCTGCTGAGATAGTTTAGACTCCAGTTTTTAATTTTGCTGACCCAGATTCCCTTCTTCATGGGGCCAGTGTTCTCCGTGGTCTTCAGGAAGGATGTTTCCACTACTATTTCATGTAGCAATAAAATGAACAACTTTTTAGCAAAATTGCAATCAGCTTCCAGTAGCTTCAAGCACCACTTGTGCTTCCAAACTATGTCAGTTATTTCTCCTCATGTGGCAATTAAGAAAAAAAAAAAAAGGAAGTAGCTTTTATTATTCACAAACTGCCAGATATTAGAATGGGACACTTAAGACTAAAAATTAAAAAGTGGCTACTGAACGTACKAGTGTGTTCATTATTGAATGACTGAATGACTGGGCTTTTTGTGTTTTTTTTTTTCCTTTTCTTTTAAGATATGGTTCCTTAAGGTTGGTAACACTGTTGAGTTCACTTACACAACACTCAATAAAAAAGATGATGATGTAACTAGATATCGTGGCATAGTTGTASCAGCTATGGCGAGAGAAAGGATCTGACATAACTGGTTTTGAGTCCTTTGCCGTGTTTTCCTTTTTGACGATAATACAGAGTTAAATTTTATGGGAGATTTGAGTTCTCTTCACCTGTGTGGCCACTCAGGTCACTCAGCATTGCTTTCTGTGTAATGTATATTGTAAAGATTTATGTAGATGTGGTGTCTATTTAATCACTGCCCAATTTAGATCTTAGAACTTCTTGTTATTGTTGTTTAAGTATGCATAACAGCCCTTTCAAGTGTGACCTTTATGTTGGTATGTATCTTGGAAACAAAAGAAGGATTTTATAGTGAACAGCCTTGCCATAATGAGTCATTATTTACAAAGAAATACAGCAACTATCTTAAGAAAATGTCGTAGTATATATTCCATGGTCAGCACCAATTYGGACAAATTAGGCGGCATTCCACACTGAAATTCTGGCCTGCCAGTACAAGAAGACAATTGTGCCTGTTGTTTCAGTGTTTTGTTTTATTTTCACTGTGTTTTCAGTCCAGTCAAGCAAGTTCTCCCACATTACTTARGGGATGAAAAGTGACTAGATTTTAAGTAAGTTGGCCCAATTAAGCACAAATAAGTAAAACATTAAGCTCTCGAGATTAAAATACCTTTCACTTAGTAGAGATGCATTGATTCGTGGCGATCTAGGTCAGGTGGCTTATTTAAATGTTTCATAATTATTTATCTATAGATTTACATCTCCTAAGTTCATCATTGGATGATGAAATTCGGTTTAATTGCATCAACTGAAAGTTTTTAATATAACCAGCATACTCCCTGGTTTTACTTTCATGACTTCTTATGTTGAAAGAACAAATGTCATTGTATGAAAGCCCCTGGGAGTGTAACATCATAACCTCAATTAAACTCTCTATTACAATAACCTTAAAATGGCTTCCTGAAGTTAGGAACACTGCGTTAGTTCTGCTGAAGATCATTACTCTGCTAACATCATATATTTTATTGAAAGCCTGGATAGCGTGACCASTCGCCAAAATGAAATTTCTACTAGTCTTATCAAGGAAGGTGCAGGGACAGGGAAGCAGGTCTGAAGGGTGCAAAGTTCGGCGGCTCCTCCACTTAAGAGGCAGTTTCTATGTCAACCAGGGCCCTTCTGTTCTCTTAATCTGTGCTAAAACACCGGCCTCAATGAAGTCCACAGAAATCCTGTAGTTACATTTCATTGGCATTGCAGTTTCACRTTTTTCACTTTCCCATATGATCAGCAAGGCCTGTGGTTTCCCTGGCTGCAACCCTGAGAAAACTGAAGCCATCTAAGTGATACTGCAGACTTCCAAGCAAAAGTTAAACTACTTCTGCGATCCTGCTGATTTTCCTGCTGGTGTGAAAAGGCACGGAAGGCAGTGACAGTCCAATCAACTTCTGCATTCAGATCATGTCTGCAAAATGAGATCTTACTGTGTAATGTAATAGGCATCTTCAAAATACCTTATGTTATATATATGATGAAGAGCTCCTCTAAGAACGCACAGATACAGGCATTATGTGGATTAAATTGAGATATAAAATGTTTATACAGTCGAATAAATTGTTCAATAGCATAATGAACATAATTCTGGAAAGATTAAAGAATTATAAAATAAAGGTTAAATCTAGGAAATAGATTTATGTCTTTGTAAAGACATTTTTGGTAGTTTAGCTTTATGTCAAATAAGGTACAGGCTTTGCTTACTGTTGCCTTAAACTATGCCACTTATGCCTCAGAGGAACAGCAGAAACCTGGTTCTTTTATTAATATATTTCACTCAGAGCTACTCAAGATCCTGTCCCAGGGTGTGCTTTTAGGTTTCTCTTTCACAGAAGTGTTTATTCTATTACKATTCACTCATTTCCTTGACGGGGCCTAGCGGTGCCCATACAAACATGAGCAGCAGGGCTGCCGACAGGTGATGACACGGGGGACACAGGTGCAGAAGTGTCGCCGCGTGGTGACACACGGTGACACACAGGGCCT